ATATATATATATAGGTTAGCATGACATTACCATTCAAAGACTATTGGAAACTCTGCATACTAGTCAATGTGTATACAGAACAAAGACAATATATCTGCTCAGTGAAGTTTATTACTCATGTGTTGAAAGAAAGTAGTTCCAGAACAACAGACAACATTTTGCAAACTGGGAACCAGATAAAAGACATAATACCAAAATTAAAACTGTAAGTTGTTTAGACAAATCTCAATGCTATTATCTTTTTAAGATTAAAATAAAATGTTTATCACAAAAGTAATACACTTTCATTGTACAAATTTTAGAAACTACAGATAAACAGAATTTAAAAAAATCTATAATCTAGTCATCTAAAACCATACTTGAAACACACATTCATCCAATCCTCTATGCATGTATAAATTTTTTAAAATAAAAGATCATTCTGTATATACGGTTTTGTAATCTGCCTTTTTCATTTAACAAAATACACTGAATAGCTTTCTAACATTGTTCTACATCCTTTGGGATAGCTACTGCATGCATGTAGCATATTTTATTAAACTAAATGCCTACTGCCAGAAATTGAGGATGTTTTAAATTTTCTGCTATAATTAACAATTGTCACTGTGATGAATACTTATTCCTACATCTCTACACACCTCGTGACTGTGTGCTCAGGATAAATTCCTAGAAGTAGAATTCCTAAACCCTAATAAAATCTAAACAAAAAAATTAACAGTTAAGCCTATTATAATACAGAGCAGTGTATCCAGCAAAACCCCAGAGCAAGCAGCAGCCTGTACATTCTACTATTAGCAATATAGATTTGTAGGGCTTTATTTAGCTTACCTTTCTAGCATATGTGTTTCCTGACAGACAACAAATTCACAAATAAAAAAGCACCCTACTGTAAGGCAAGGACTCAACATCTTTTCCCAAAGTCTCCCAAAGAGTACACATTCAATGAATCAAAAATGTATTTAAATTATCAATAATTATCCAATTTAAAGACTGTAAAGAATTAGTAATTATCAAGAATATAAGTTTTTCTTTTCTGAGTAGTATATTGAAAAATTATGACACCTAGATAAACTCTGCTAGAGGAATACTGCAAAACACTTTTTAACAAATTTTGTTCAAGAAAATATTTACCCTAACAGGTACTGACAAAAGCAATGAGTCCAGGACTGTAGATTCCATACTAAGCAAGTTTTCTACACCCTGCCAAAATTTTAATGCCCAGAATAGATCTCTTTCAGCCATTTTTATATGTTTCATTTGTTTTAAAAATGTAAACAGTTTTAACGTTAATGAGTCACAATAAGACCTCAAGACCACCTACAAGTTGCTATTTGTTACAGAAGCAGAAAAAGCAGAAAGCCTAATACACAGTCAAGAGGCCTTATGTACCTCGTTTCAGGAGGTCACAAGTCAATTCATGAGTACTGGGAGGAACAGAATTAACCGTAAAAAATGCAAGTAGGTGGCCACCAAAAAGTAATTCAGAAAAACTGTTTAGGAACCCAAAAACACAGGAAAGGTTTAAATTTGACCACCACCTTCCAGCACAAGAAATGACAACACAATGAAATAAATAAGGACCAAAAAAAAAAGGCTTAGATTTCAGCTGCACAGACACCCTGGTCTAACTGACTATTCCACACTAAGCAGGAAATACTGTAAAATCGATTGTAATTAAATAAGCCTGTATTTGAAGAATCAGGTCAAATGCAAAACAGAAATTGTCCATACCTCCTCTAGTTTATTATCACTTGATTTATGGGTGGAACCATCTAAGGATGACACTCGCTTTGATTTTTTTTCATATTCATCAATATCACCATTAGACAGATCTTTTCTTCTTGACTTATGAGATTTAGAGAATTCATCGGAAAGTCTATTAAATCCTTCTTCAGTGTTTCCATTTAGCTTCTCTTTCATTTTAGTTTTTTTGGCCTTGGGAGCATCCAGGTCATCTGTAACACCATTTTCTCTTGTTTCTGATTTCTCATCTGAGTCATAATGGTGCCTTGACTTCTTTCTATCACTCTGAAAAAACAAAAAAAGCAGTGACAAGAGGGTCACAAGGTCTCATTTTAAGACTTTAGAGCATGACACCCCAACAAGTAAAACTCAATCTACCAGTTATCTTGAAAACCTACCTGGCAGAAATCCAGACTGGTCCCTTCATGCCAAGGTACAAGCTTTACCTATCTTTCTTATCCCATCTCTTGCATTCTCAAGTCCCAGCCTCTGGGCCCCTCTAATCCTATCAGAAGATTAAATGGAAATTAAAGTAGGAATTCTCAGAAAAAGAATGAGAACCCCATATTTATAAATAAAAAAACAAACAAAAGATTTAACATCTGCAAGAGAAAAAACTAGTATTTATTGAGTATCTACCCAGTATTGTGAAATGTGTTTTTGCTTACCTTGTTTAAATCTTCACAACAACCCTGTAAGGGAAGTACTGGTCCATAATCCCTTATCCAAAATTCCAATATCCAAAAAGCTCTGAAAATTGAAAGTTTTTTTAGAACTTATTTGGAGGCAAAACCTTACCTGACCAGAACTCATGTGGCGAAATTTGACCTGAATTAATGTGAGGCTATTTAGTCTTTATTTATTCCTCTTAATATGAGTAAAAAGAGCCTGGTGGCACAGTGGTGAAGTGCTTGGCCACTAACTGAAAGGTTGGTGGTTCGAACCCACTAGCCGCTCTGCAGCAGAAAGATGTGGCAGTCTGCTTCCGTAAAGATCACAGCCTTGGAAACCCTATGGGGCAGTTCTACTCTGCCCTATAAGGTTGCTATGCGTCCGAATCAACTCAACAGCAATGGGTTTGGTTTGGCATTCTTTTAGTATGAATATTTAATATTAAGGTATTTAATTACAAGTTACAGCCCAAACCCTTACAGGTTGTAAAAATCCTCAAAATTCTGAATTCCAAACCACATCTACCCCCAAGGATTTTGAATAAGGGCTAGTGAACCTGTGCTACTTTTGCTATTTTACAAATGAGGCAATGAGAATTTCTTAGAGGCTAAGACCCAAAAGTGGGATTTCCTACAGGTGGAAGTGCCAGAAATCCAACCTAACCCTTTCTGACTTGAAAAGCCCGTGCTCTTTTCACACCATGCTCCTCCCTGAACTTTGATAATTTACAGGTTAAAGAAAACCAATCAAAACTACATAAGACATCAAAAACTCAAATTGTAACACACCCATAGAAAGACAAGTATTATTACTAATCCTGGCAAAAAAAATTTTTTTTAATTTAGTCAACAGGATTTTTTTAAAAAATGAGTGGACTATTCTGCACCTTTAGTTTTAAAATGACAAAATCACTGGTGGCCAGTGTTTTAATATTTGCAGATCATAAGAAATTATCTGAAAATTTAGCACATCTTCAGAATTACTTCATCAGTTGTTTGAAAAAAACTAGATAGCAATGATTAGTGGGAGTCCCTGGGTGGCACAAATAGTTAAGTGATCGACTACTAGCCAAAAGGTTGGCAGTTCGAACCTATCCAGAGGTACCTCAGAAGACAGGGCTGGTGATCTGCTTCTGAGAGGTCACAGCCCTGCAAACCCTATGTGGCAGTTCTAGTCTGTAACTCATGGAGTCACCATGAGTCAGAATCCACTCAACAGCAACAACAGTGATTAGTGACAGTAAAAACCACTACAACAACTTTCACCATGACTTAATTATTTTTACAAAATACTTTTACATAGTTTCCTCATCCATAAAATAACAGTTGCTAAAAAAAATAGAAGAACAATTTTTTAACATTTTATTGTTGCTTGTAGGTGAAAGTTTACAGAGCAAATTAGTTTCCCATTCAACAATTTATACACAGCTTGTTCCGTGACATTGGCTGCAAATCCCTGAACATGTCAGCACTCTCCTCCCTTCTTCCCTGGGTTCCCCGTGTCCATTCGCACAGCTTTCCTGCCCCTACTGTCTTTCTGAACTTTGCTTTTGGGCAAATGCCGCCCTTTAGGTCTCGTATAGTTGATTGTTCTGAGGTGTACATTTCTCACTGGTATTATTGTTCATTTTAGAGGCCTGTCTATTGCATGGCTATAATGAGATCTCCAGAAGTGATTTCAGTTCCAAGTTTGAGTTCCAAGTTTGAAGAGTGTCTAAAGGCCATAATCTCGGGGGTTACACCAGTCTCTGTGAGACCAGTAAGTCTGGTCTTATGAGTCTGGATTTTGTTCTACATTTCTCTCCGTCTCTGTCCATGACCTACTATTGCGGTCTCAGTCAGAGTAGTGGTAGTGGTAGCTGGGCACCATCTAGTTTTTCTGGTCTCAGACCAGTAGAGGCCGCTGTTCATGTGCTCCATTAGTCCTCTGGACTAACTGCTCCCTTCAGTCTTTGGTTCTATTCACTCTCCTTTGTTCCAGACGGGAAGAGACCGATTGTTGTATCTTAGCTGGCTGCTCACAAGCTTTTAAGACCCCAGTCACTATTCACCAAGATACTATGTAGAACATTGTCTGTATGGATTATGATATGCCAATTGACCTAGATGTCCCCCAAGACTGTGGTCCCTAGCCCTCAAGCCCAGTATCTCGGTCCTAGGAGGTGTATGGTTATGGCTAAGAAATGTTCATGACTGTGACCCCTGTGCGCACTATCGCATACATCGGTACATTTGCAGCATGTACACATATATACGTACACGGGTGTACTTCAAAATGCCCTCCCACCCCTGCTCACCTTACATATCTACCTAGGTATCCACTTGCACATTACTGTTGTATTACTGTTGAACAATATATGTTTTGTAAACAATAGTGCTTTACAAGAACATAAGTTATATAGTTATAGGTTATATCATTTGATCTTTACTTAACTAAACTAGTCCCACATCTCCCCAAACCAATAGGTTCTACAGAAAAACAAGGTTATTTATAGAGTCAACCTTGGTGTTTGCTTTGCTCCTGGGCCCTACACTTCAGGGAGAAGATGAAGCAAGGCAAAGTCAGACCTCCAGGACCAAGTCCAGCAACATCCCAAGGTGATGAAATACATTGTTTCACATCGGGCTCACAGTGCTTGACATTGTCCATTCCCTTGGTTTCTGTTAACACTCCGTATTTCCTCCTTATCCTCTTACCTCTATCACAACTTCATGGTTCCTCTCCCTCCTCCTTCTGTGGATGTTCCTTAAGTTTCTTTCCTCTATGACTTTCATACCATTTCATATCTTTTGCATACCATTTTCATGGCTTCACCAAACATTTCCAGGCTTCCTTCCTCACTTGAACTCATTTTGAGAACCTATGAACTAGCTCCATATCTCAACATACCCAAAACAAAAGTTATCTTCATCTCAAAGCCAGACCACTACCCTAATGTTCTATTTTTATTAGCTGATACTCCATTTCCAAATTTTTAGTTATTCTTTCATAGTTAAAGGACCAATGAACAAGTACTTCTGGAGAATCTACAATGTGAAAGCCATTAACTTGCAAGAATATAGCCATCAGCTTACAAGAATATACTGAAATGTAAGGATGGACAAAGATGTGGTCATTTTCCTCAAAAAAATCTCTGGGAAGTATACACACATGAAAAACAAGGTAACTTTACAAGGAAGCACATCATAAATGACAACTGAATGATAAAGACAGCCAGTAGAATAGGACTTCAAATGGGAATGAGACTACTGTACACTGGGGTGATTAGAAAAGACTTGAACTAGACCTTGACAGATAGATAGGATTTGGATGCAAAAGGGACACAAAGTATTTCAACAGGAGACATAGAAAAATAACTGGCTGGAATGGCAAGTTTACCCTGGTGACAAGGTCGGAGGAGTAGCTCTTTGAGGCTATACAGAATAATCTCATTCTTTTGCCACATGACAGCCTTCAAATATTTGGAGACCACTATCTTACTGTCTTCAGGTCTGTTTTCTTTTCTCCAGGTCAAATGTCTCCAGTAAAATTTTACCTTTTCAGCACGTTGTGGCCCCCTAATTGTTCTTGGATTTTTCTTTTCTCTCTACAACTCCTCTACAGGCCCACGAGGGCAGGAACCATTTCTTACACTCGTATTTAGTTTAAACTCCTTGGTGCCCAGCAAAGATCCTGGTACAAATTAGACTCAATAAATACTTGTGGACTGAATGAACATACCGACTATAAGGGCTATTAAAAATACAATTCACATCATCTCCATCACAGTCAAATCCTAGCAACGCTGGTACTTCTCCTTAAGCCTCTACAGACTACTTATTGAGGTTTGTAAAACCTAAGACCGCTTTTTCCCAAGATACTCGAACACAAGACAGGGTGACAGAGAAACAACACATATCCAAATCAATTATTTTTCTTAACCATCTTCTAAGACGGTCAACGAGAAGTAAATGACAGGGCTCGCTGCTTAAGGAAGAACAGATAAAAACAGATTCCACCGCGATGGGAGCCTTAGTCTGCCCACCTCGTAGGAGAGATTCAGGCGCCAACGGGAAAGGCTGAGGGGCCGCGGGAGGCCGGGCCAAAGCCGAGGGCCGCCCTTCTCCAGGTCGGGGGTGTGGAGGTGGAACTGGTACCGGATCGACCTCAGAGGGTCGAGGGCGGCGCGAGGGCAGGCTTTCGGATGCTCCGGCCCGGTTCTGACAGGCCATCAGGGACAGCTCCCTCCCCGCCCAAGTCGGCGCAGCCCAAAAAGAGGCGCGGCCCAGCCTCAGCGCACCTTTTGCCTCTCCTTCCTCTGGCTCTCCGACTCCTCCAAGGGTGCCTCCAGCTCCATAATGTCCCCCCAGAGGAGTTTCCCAGGCATCACTCGCCGCCGCCGCCTCCTTCTGGGCACGGTGGCCACAACCACCTACAGGCAGCCACAGCGTGAAAGGAAGCGGGGGCAGGGCGACCGCCCGGCCCGGGCCGTGCGTCACTTCCGGGACACGCACCGCACCGCGGAGGGAAATAATCCCGGATACTCTCCCTTTAAGCTCTTCCGTTGCACCGCAACCTCCCATCCAATGGGTGTGAGAGATCTCTACTGGCACACCCTTGTTCTGAAGTGATTGGCTTCTAAAGTAAAACCCTGGCCAATCGCCATAAATTACGTGCGTGCTTATTAGCATAAAATTATTGGGTTTCTTCTCCCCTCCCCCCACCCCCAAAACTTCTTCTTGGCCCAAAGGGGACGCCTCGGGGCTTCCCAGCATGCACATCTGGGCCCCTTAACGGTGATGGAGAGGGGTCCGCGCGCGCGGCGGGCTGACCTGCCAGAGTAGGTGGGAAACGCCAGGCGCAGCCCAGCCATTCACCACCGGAAGGTGCAGGCCTCGGCCCCGCCCATTGCGGGGTGAGGCGTTAACGTCTAACGGCTTTGCTCGAGGCCGGCGACCCGACCTTGGTCTGAAGGGGCTTCGTCGGAAGAGGCTTCATCGGGTCTGGAGTTGGGCAGGAGGGCTTGAGGTGGAGGTCAGGACCAGACAACCTTCCCTGAAATCTTAGATTGTAGTCATAAAGTTGGTCTTCGTTCACTCTGGGTCCTCATCACGCTCCCCGTTTGACATACGAAGAAACTAAACCCGAGAAAGGAATTTACTTGTCTAAAGCCACACAATCAGTGGCACAGTCAGGACTAGAGAACTCATCTCCTGAATCCGAGATCGGTCCTTTCTCTGCCACGCCAACCTGCAAGCTTTCAGTTTCCCAAAGCGTTTTGGGAAAGATGTTCCCATGAAACATTGAATAGAAAAAATCTGAAGAAACCTCACAGTTTCTGGTAGAGAGAAAACACGTCTGACAATTGCCGTTGATAGATTATTCATTTATATACAAAAAACAAACCCGTTGCCATTGAGTCGATTCCGACTCATAGTGAGCCTATGCACAGAGTAGAACTGCCCTATAGGGTTTCCAAGGAGCGGCTGGTGGATTCTGCCAGCCTTTTGGTTAGCAGCCAAGCTCTTAACTGTGCCAACAGGGCTTCATTCGTTTATAGTGAAATAAAGTTTTATCGATGGGAATTAATTGCCTTTTATACAACTGCAACCTTATACAAAACTGGAAACTTTTTGAAATACAGACGGCTACTTCCTAGGCATATACCTTTTCTTACACTCGCCGGTGCTAGATAGTTGGCTTTCTTTTCAGAGCCATTTCTTTATCTCTTTACAATCTCTTCAACCCAGTTACTATTGAGCAGAGAATGAGAAACCACATTGAAATGTAGGTTCAGGAGCATCTCACAAACCAGTTGACAGTGCCCAGCACACAAGCCTTGTAGCCTGACCATCCAACTTGTGTCTTAGCAGAATTACAAATTGCTGCATGTCATGAAGTTTGCGGATTAGTTCCGAATAACAAACTACAACTGTTAAACCTGTGGATGCTGCAGACCTCCTGCATGATTATGAATTGGCCTGAAGTCAAGGGCTATATGTTTAGCTAGATGTAACCTTATGGATTCAATATTATGAGCACAAGGAGTGTTCAGCTAAAGGTGGTAGAATAAGAAATGCATCTGTCTCCCTAAATTATAATACCTATGCATTTCTAGGTCTATGCTTTTTTAAATCCT